CTGAGTCACTGGGAATTCCCTGTCCTCATGCTGCTGTGTTTCCGCGTGCCACTCATTCTGCCCAGAGAGCCCTCGTATCTCTTCTCTGCTGGTGAATCCCTATTCACTCCTTGAGGTTCAGGACAGAGTGAGAAACCTTTCTTGTGAGAACTCGACTCTCTCCAGGCGGGGGAAAGCCTTTCCCCTGTAGTGGAATGCAGCTCAACGTAGCACTCAGTAATATGCATTTTGATTATTTATTTACTGGTCTGCGTCTCCCAGCTAATTATAAGCTCTTCTGGGGCCAGGCCCCTGTCTTTTTCATCTTTGTGCCTCCAGTACCCAGCATGCTATTTGGCGGATCTGGGGCACTTGCTAAATGCTTGTTGAAAAAAATGAATAAAGTAAAGAATGAAACTTACTGTGTCCAAATCAAGTTCATACTGATCTGACATTTTCAAAGTTAACTAGTCAATACGTTTGACTTGCGCACATGTGATTTATAACACAGGATGCTGCATCACACACAGAGAAGTGCTGAATGTGGCCTCTGGCGTCAATGACTTGTAATCTGGGGATCAGATAAATATGCACAAACATAAATGCTAATTAAGAGAGAGATTATTTCAACGAACTGATAAAAATGGACTTCTGAAGGCCATGTGGAGTGAGCTGTAAATGAATGAAGTGGAGATTGGTGACAGGGGCTGGGGGTGGGGAGGCCACTGTGGCCTGGGAGAGGGGTCTATGGGAACTTCCACATTGCAAGTGGGGGAAAAGAATCAGCAACAGTGGTTCCAACAGCAAGGAGAAGCTATTGGCTGAAATTCCCAAGAAAGGCTGGCTTCAGACAGGATTCCACCGAGTGCACAAATACTGTCACTTGATTTCTCCTTCTTCCTTTTGAGGTGTCAGCTTCTGCTCCTCTTCCCCCACGTTATCACGTCATCACCCTTTCCAGGTTCTTTTCCTGAAGAGGACCATTTGCGGACCTCACAGCCTCACAGATCTTTCCCAGAAGGCTCCAGCAAGCATACATTTACATCTCGTTATGCCTGATTCACTGCACACCTTCCTTGAACCAATCACTATTGCCACAGAGATGAGACATTCTGCTTGATTTAAGCTAAAGTGTGCCACCCCAAACTGGGAAAGGTCACTGGCAGCAATCTAAGAGATGGCTGATACCAAGAGAGGCTGGTTGTTAGGAATGTACATGGTACCCGGAGAGCTGGCATGTCGCTGGTGGTGCAGCTGTGTGTCCAGGGGATCATGGCTGATGCACTGCTCTGTCCTTCCCCTAGGCCACAATGTTAAAAAAAATTCTCAGGATAGGCAGCCGCCCCACATTACCCTTCTCTAAATCTTGGCAGAAGAAAGAGCTCTGGATTAAAGATCAGACTCCTGACTTGTGGTCTTGGCTCTGTCAAGACATTGACTTTCCGATTCTCAGTCTTCTCAACTATAAAATGTGGGTAATGACACCTGAACTTCCTATGCCGTCAAGAAAGTCAAGTGAAGTTACCAGTTTGGAAGCCCTTTCAAAAGCATCAGAACCACCGGTCACTCACGCTCAGTGCTCACGTCTGTCTAGTTTTCATTGTGAGAGACTAAGAAAGTTAAGCCCACACACCTGCTCCCCCAGCCCTGGATCCCTGCACCCCACCCCAGGCAGTCCCGCCATCTCCAAGTCCTCGTGTGCTCCATATCAACCCTGATGCTTTTCACTCGAGGAATGGGAAATCCCACCCAAAGGGCTTTGGCAGCAAGACACAGTATTCTCTCATTGTGAGGAGCCCACAGACAGGGGGTTCCAGGTGCAGGATGTCAGGCCTGCCCCCCCAACTCTCAGGACTCCGACCTCCCACTGGGCTGCTCTTCCCCTCCACCTGGCTGCTCGAGGGCTGAAGTGGTTCCAGGAATCACAGGCAGACAAGAATTGCTTCTTCATGTGTGTCTCTTCTTTTCAGGCTAGGAAACCTTTCCAAGAAAAATTCTTAGATCTCGTTGATTAGAATTGCCCACAGGGCCACCCCTAAAACAATGTCTGGCAAAGGGGATGGGGGGGTGCATGTCCCCACCCTGGGAACAGCCCTCAATAACTGATGAGAGTGTGGGAACAGCACATGCACAAGCACCAAAGCCCCTACCCCGAGGTGGGGATCGCTCTGTGGTGTTTACTCGGCCCTGGCATCCAGGATGTCTCCAGCCCAGTGACATTCCAGCTGCCCACCATGCTTGCTGGCCGGACAGCATGCCCTTGCAGGCTGCCCTCCTTCTCTGACCTTGCTTCTCCACCCACGGTGGTACTTCCTTCACCCCTTGACTTCCTGTCTCAGAGTTGGCCTTGGGTAATCAGAGATGCTCTGCACCAAACACCCAACTCCTCCCTGAGTCCAGAGGCTCTGCATGCGACATCCATCTGCTTGGAATATATGTCCTCTCTGTTCATGCTCAGTCTCCCTTGCAGTTGCATTGTAAATGCCACTTCCTCCAGAAAGCCTTCTCGGAGCCCTTGTCCAGCTGATGCCACCCTCCCAGTGTCTGCTCTCCTCTCTGTGCATCTCCCCAACAATGGCTGTGGTTTAATTGATTGTGTCGTGATTTGCTTTACATGGTTATCCCCAACCAGACTGTGAGCTGCTTGGGGCCCCCACGTTATCGCTGGCTCCTGGCACGATGCCTGACACCAAACAGGGGTCGAGGCTGCTGGGTGTTGGGAAGATGAGCCTCATGGAGACACCAGTTGAGGGACACTCACAGACAAAGTGACCAGAGCTTTGCGTGAAAAGGATCTTTGATTCACACAACTCTTAATGGAACTCATTATAAATAAATACATTTATTTCTTGGGACAGAATATAACTTTTATACATGGAAAGGATGCCCATTGTCTGAGGGAGAATCTTACAGTGGCTCCTTTACATCTGTAAAAATGCCATTTTAATCACCTTTTAGTTTTGTTTATACATTACAGAGCTCCATCACAAATCCACCATTCATCCCTTCCTTCCTTCCTTCCTTCCCTCCCTGCTTACAGGGCATTGTACCTGGCAGGACCCTATGACTATCTGCTGTCAACCCTTTTCGAATGTTGAGAGAGATTCCACTGTGGGTAACGGCCCGGGTTCCACCTCCCCTCAGCGGCACCCTCGCAGTCAGCTTTGGCTCTCGCTGACAGGACAAGGAACAGTCTAGGAAACCCACAACTGCCTTGAATTGAGGGCACTCCCTACGCTGTCACTCGGCGCTCAGTGGGACACATCTCCCTTGGGGACGGGTGGCGCGAGGCAGGGTGAGAACAGGCAGACCAGCAGGCACGCCCGCCGTCCCTCTGCCGGCAGACGCACTCTTGCTGCCCCTCAACAAGACCCCTCCCTCTGCACGGGGCCAGGGCCGGTTGTGCGGGGTGGAGGCTTATATAATTTGGAATCCTTCTTTAAGAACAAGTACAAAACTCCACGTAAGCACGTGACAGAGCTTTGGAAGGGTCCAGGAGCGCGAGGGCCTCTGAAGTTGCAGCTGCACTGGTTTCCCGTAACTCAGCGTCTGACCCTGAGTCAGACTGGCTGGTCCTCCCACCAGTGGCCCCTTGACCTCAATGCCTTGTTTACGTTGCTTTTTTACTCGAGAGGGCCTCCCTCCGCCTCCTCCTTCAACTCCTGGCCCATATTTTTCCAAAGTTTGGTCCCACAGTGGCTCCTCTATTCCACCTAGCAGAAAGCCCTCCCCACCCCGCAGGCCCACTGCCCCGTGCACAAGCCCAGGATACGGCGCCCACTGCAGCTTAGAGGGCATCCTGAATTGCCCTACGGGGGGTGTATATAGGGGAGTCTTGGGCACAGGGACTGTTTCTTCATTGGCATGTCCCCTCAGCACCTACCTAAGCTCTGGGTGCCGCAGGAAGGGGAGGAAACGAGGAGAGGTGTCATAACAGCAAGATGACGGGGCTTGGGGCACGGCCGACTTGCTGGGGTCTAATCTGCCCCTGAGCAGTGTGGGGCCGTGTAAGTCAGTGCTCGCCGAGTTCTGGTTCCCCCCTGACACATGGATGTAACGACAACGTCCATACCACATCACTGCTGTGAGGATTAAGTAAGCATTTCTTCGTTCACCAGTATCGACTGAGCCCTCTCCAAGGTGACTTTTTTGGCACCAGAGGCTTGGAATACATGTGAATGAGCAAGATTCCCCTGTGGGCTTCTCACAGTTGAGTTGGGAGATGGAAACATAATGTATCAGGATATTATTTTTCCTCATATATTTATTTTTTCTTACTGTTTTTTTGCTCATACACATGTAATTTTTGACTAAAGTATAGTCAGTTTACAATGTTGTGTCAATTTCTGGTGTACAGCATAATGCTTCAGTCATACATATACACACACATATTCATTTTCACATTCTTTTTCATTATAGGTTACTACAAGATATTGAATGTAGTTCCCTGTGCTGTACAGAAGGACCTTGTTGTTTATCTATTTTATGTATAGTAGTATCTGCTAATCCCAAACTCCCAATTTACCCCTACCCATCCCTTTCCTCCTCCAACCCCGGTAACCATGTGATTGTTTTCTATGTCTGTGAGTCTGTTTCTGTTTTATAAATAAGTTCATTTGTGTCTCTTTTTTTTTAGATTCCACATATGAGTGATATTGTGTGGTATTTCTCTTTCTTTCTGTGGCTTACTCACAGCAGACACACAACCAGAGCAGAGTAGGAGCTCCACGAATGGGTGACTGACAGAATGAAGGAACTCAGAAGAGAAAATGATTGATTCTGTGGTGTTGTGTAAATACATTTTATATATAACCAAGTGATGGTGTGTGGGAAGTCACAAGAGGCTCCAGGTTAAAGCAAATGAAACCAAGAGGAGAAAGAGAGCAAGGACTGGGGGAGGGAGGAGGAGGAGCAGGGGAGGGGGAAGAACAGGGGAGGGGGGTAGGAACAGGGGAGGGAGGGGAGCAGCAGGGGAGGGAGGGGGGCTCAGGGAGGGAGGGAGGAGTGGGCCTAGGACCCACCTGGCCCAGCGTGCATTCCATGCCACCCAGGAAGTCTGCGTCCTTCAGCCCGTTGTGGTTGCTGCTGATGTCGTGGACCTCAAACCGCAGGCGCTGCACTTCCTCGAAGTAAAAGTCCACGGTGAACAGTTTTGAATACACCGGGTTTATGCAGGTGCGAATCACCTCTGTTCTGTCAACCTGCCGAGAGAGAGAGAAAGATCCTGTCAGTTATCCGGGCATTATCATCACCCTGCAGGGGGATTAACCCCACAGTGCTGCGTCTCCTTCCAAACTGGACAAGTCCTCCACCAAATCTCTGGGAGAACAGTTTGGAAGTCTTTCAGGATGCACCTTCAGAGAGCCGTGTTTCAAGGAGGAAAATCATAGACAGAACCGTCTGCAGCTTTGTATTTAAGGGTTTGGAGCCTCCTGTATCATTAAGTAACAGGACGACAAAGATGGAGTGAGAGTGAGGGTACCTGGAAACTTAGGCTGGGAAAGGGTCTGAGGGCTCATCTGGGCTCAGGAGGAAGAAATCTGTCCTCAATGCCTGGTGTCCAATGGGCACTGAAGGGGAGATGACCACGCAGATGCCCTGTGTTTGCCACCCCTGCTCTGATGGGAGGGTCACAGTTCATGACCCCCAGCATAATGACGAGGCTGTGAAGGCAAACTGCCAGTGGTCCCCAGGGGGCCTTTCACTGGGTTTACATGGGATGTTTACGGAGGCGGTTCAGTCCCCTGGCCCCTGTGACAAGGATGCTCCACCCCCCACACACACACATCTGCCACTTTCTGCTCCACTCCGTGCCCCGGAGGCTGCCCTCTGGGGTCTGGGTGGAGTCCACCACAGGGAGGACTGGGCAGGGGCTCAGCAAGCGGGAAAAGGGAAGGCCCAGCCGTGTCCCCACACCTCTGCAACACACCATCCGCTAGCGACGCCGTCCACAAAGGGAGGCTCCACCAGGGCCTGGTGACACAGCCCCTTCCCTACCCCGGCCCCTCCAACCCGGCTGGGAGTGAGTCCTGCTGTGGCCACAGCACCTCTGCCCATGCTCACAAGAAGAGCCCCCGCTGTGCAGTCTAACCCTTGGGTGCACCTCCCCGGGGACGCCATCTGCTTCCTGCCCGGACCCCCCACCACTAACATTCTCCTCCGTCTGCTGTAGGTAAGGACACTCAGCACGATTTACAGTCTGCCAGGCCTTATAGGACCAGGGTACAGGTAAACCAAGCTCCTCCAGGGTTTCTCAGCAGGAGACACCCATCCCTCCAGTTCACAGGTCCTCGGAGCCTCCGAGTACCGGCAGCTTTCAGAGGGCAACACTGGTCAACGGATACTCCCCGGAGTCATTCATGAGCGCAAACTGTGGAAAACATTCCCCTGCTTTCATTAGAGTACAGGGAAAGCCTCTCAATTAAATGAAAGGAAACCATTTTTGACCATATCATGCCTGTACACATCATCCAGCAAAGAGGATTTGATAGATTCCTGCATTTCGTGCTTTCCTCCCGGCCTGTCCCTTCCTACGCAGGGCCCTGGGTGAGGGAGGGTCTCCTGGAAGGAACACCATCTGCTCTTCCTTGTGGGGCCAAGAAGGGGAATTTTACGTCCCTGTCCATCACACAGAAAACCAACCCACAGCCGCTGCTGACTAGCTCTTCTTCAGACCAACGGTGGACTCTTCCCATGAAGACTCAGCTTCCACCTGAGCTGAATTTTACACTCTTTGAAATGTTCATTCTGGTGGGGGCAGGACTGCGTATGTTATTGGCTGATTGTGTGGGTGCAAAGATCTACTGTGTTGGCGTAAATATTTTTCAGTTAATAAGAGATCACGGTTTTGATTAATTGTAAAAATCAAGAGGTCACAGCCTGATAGTCAGCAAGTTCATGCTAACTTGGAGGTGTTTTATTTGTCCCACTTGAAAGTAGTTTTCCTTTCATTAACATAAAAGAGGTGCTATTTCTATTGCCCCCTCCCTCTGGGAAAAAATCAGATTATCTGGTAACCTGGGGCTACATTCACACATGGTACAACTGGGGGCTGCCTCGTTCAGATGGGCATTTTCCAAGCTCTTCACCCTCAATAAAGCCCCCCACTTGACACCTGGAAGCATTTTTGCATCATTTGGTCCAAATTCATAGAATTAGGAGTAATATGACAAGAGATTTAATTACATTCATGTGGTGCCTTTTGGTAGAGGATTTCAAAATAATCCCTGAGAAGTAACCTATAGGTAGATTGTCAAGGCACAGAAAAGGACCCTTCTCTCCTCGTGGATGGAGGAACAGAGTCCAGTGACACATCTGAAACAAAATTCTGAAAACCAAGTTCCCTAAAGGATGCAACACCATGGAACGAGGTCACGCCAGGAAATGGGATCTTAGGAAATGGGCCAGCACAAATACCAGTCAGGGAGACCTCACAGCCAGCCAGGCTGAGTGCTCGGCTGACAGACATCGCTGCTCGTCCCTGGATGGAACAACTGGTACTTCCCAGCAGCATCCCTGACGCCAGCTCGACAATATGCTAGCCCGACGAGCAGCTCCCAGAAATGAAGCACCTGTAGTTAAAGAAGTTTTGGAAGCCGCCCCACAGTACCTGTTCTTAGAAAGCATGACGCACAGCACAGTCCACGAAAGGCCCCCGAGGAGTTCTGCAGCAAATCCACAGGCTCACTTGTCTAAAAGGGTCCAAACTTATTTAACCCTCCTTCTTCCCCTTCGCAGAATACAGATACTAACATCCAACAAAGCACAGACACTCTTCAAAGAGTTTGCACTACACTGTTAAGAAAATAGACCTCTTTTATTTTCTCTCAGAGCAAAGAAGCTACACCAGTGGGACAAGCTGACTTCACACTCCACACTTGGCACAGCAGACACGCCCTGTTTGTTCAGCACTCATTTATTAAATTAATGAACAAACGATAAGCCTCTGAGTGTGTTCAGTGTCCAGCACCATTTCCTGATGGGCCCTGCCTCCCATTTGCCCCATGTTTCTCTTGGCCAGCTTCTCTCCCTGACCTACTCGGCACAACGTAGAGTTTCTACATGAAGCCAAACTCAAGTCACCATAAATCTCATCTCATCATGAAACTCCAGCTCAGAAGCAGAAGACAGGATGGGACAGAGCGCTGATGCCAACAAGTGTCGCGGGCCCTGGCTGGGCAGACCTGGGGATGCCCATCTGTCAGTCACCAGCCACACATCTGCATTCTCCTTCCACTGTGACCCAGCAACCAGCACCCCCTCCGCTGCCCCATCTCCATCTATTTCACTTTCTGCTTTACGAGTCCCTGAAAGACTTGCTTTGAATCCAAGGAAAGGCCAATGTTTGCTATAGTTGTTAACTAGAGATGGAAGCTGCCGGCACCGGGTTGAGTGAGAGCCTGGTGGGACAGACACCCAGCATGAAGGAGGCACAGGCTCTTGCTGAGTCTGCCCCGCGGCAGGCTGAGCGATGGAACGTTCTAGACTGTTGTACACGACCACTCCCTCGTTACCTGTGGGACTCAGGCTCTTCCACATCCCACAGAGCTCTCCAGATGTCTGTATTTCCCCTCCTATTCCTGTTTATTTCCTCGTAAATGGCAGAGAGAGTTTCTGATAAATGAAAAGGTCTGGTAATCAGAAAATTCACCTCAGTGGACTTTTCAATTCACTGCCAACCACCCAGGCAGAATGATTCTTTATGGATGTACCAGGATAACGTCTTTACCGGAAGAGGTCAAAGTCCTTCTCTTTCTTTTTCTCCTTCCTATTCTCAAATTCCTACTTTCTCTGTCTTTATTTTATTATTATTATTTTGTCTCCTTTTTCAGTTTTTTTTAGGTAGAATTATTACAGTTTGATGGCACATACACAGTATATTGCATGTAAATACATATATACAGTATACTGCACATTTTTTTAG